GTTCAGATTTTGTTCGCTCATACGTTGGTATGTTGTTTGGCCCGGTATTTTTCATTTTGTGGTTTTCTCATTGGTTATCACATTATTCACGTTATTATTTACCAGTGGGATCGCCCGGCTGACGCTGAGCTCTCCTCCTTTCTTTAACTGGCTTGGCCTCGCCAGGCGCACTTCATAATGGATGCGGAATGTTTTCATCCACTTAGCTACTAATACTGCGCTGTTTTGATCGAATCGTGATAGATGGAGCAACCCACGCGCGAGCTCCCGTCCTGCTACCACGCGAGCAGCTTATGCGATGGCTTGGAGTGTACTAAATGGTTGTCTCATGTAGTTGAAGGTATTATCACAATCAAAACAACATCTTATTTTGTTACTTTATTTGGAATTAGTTCGCGATTTTGCTGGCTGTATCCTCCCTTGCTGTGTGCTCCAAATGTGCGCTACGCACCCTCCTCAACGTACCCCCTTCACCCAACATCTTCCCCTTGTTCCCCTACCCTGCACGTGCTAGTCCAGCTGAGCACGTGCAGGGGAAGAAGGCAGAGGGAGGACCCCTCCATCCCACCCCCGCCCCTGCCCCGCACGAGCACACGTCCAGCTGCCACCCGAGCAGCTCGTGCAATGGCTCGGAGTGTACCGAATGGTTGTCTTATATATGCTGTTATCACAATCAAAACATTGGATTGATACATCTGCACCAATGGGTTTCCGGTTTGTCTAGCGGTCGTATTCTCCTCCCACTAACCTATTCGAACCCGTGAAGCATTTTGCGGACGGACAAACATACATACTTACATACATACAGACCGACAAACCGACACACAAAGTTAGTGCTTTATAGAATAGAAGGATTATGAAACTATTGATTCATATTTATTACATTATTCATTTTGAAATTTGTTGGTGTTGTTCCACTTTGTTCATGCATGATTGGTGCACTGTTTCTCCAAGTCGTTTTTCATATTTTGACTAATTTCGTGGTCTTCTCTCAGATTCGCTGAATGCAATGTTATTATAGAAACCCGTTCTATTTTAAGAAAGAATGGGTCATGGCGAGCTAGAAGAGATATGCGATCGGTACCTTAGCCGCAGAGAAGAGCAACAAAAGGTGACAGAAGCTGTGGAAAGGTGCCTACGGAAAGGATACGACTATGATAAAATGAAGGTAGCTTTAAGATTTTTGTGTATGTTTTTGCCTGTGTTGACCTTTTACTTGAGCTAACTTTTTGAAGCGGTATGTTTCTTGTGCGCTAAAATCTTATATTCAGGACCGCGTTCTCGACGCCATAACGGACTCTCATCGGGCACACAAAGTGATTTCAGCCATTTGTACTGCATACCCGCAATTCCGCAAGAGAACTAAGGTCAGTTTTTGTCCCACAACAACTGAGGAACTTCTTTCAGAATATCTCTGTCTGTTAGCATTTTGCTTTTTTTCGTTCTGATAAAATAAGGACCAAGGATTGTCAGCGGTCCGAAGTAGCGATCCTGCTTTCTGGATAACAATATGTTCCTTTATTTACACAGCCATCGATTTCACGCTTGCTTCCATCATAATCCTGCTTTATTTCTGGATGCATTATTAAGATTGAAGTAGATTTGCGACTGGGCTCATAGCGAAAATGATACCACGAGCAGTTTTTCGAAAAGAGAAAAGATTAGAGCGCGTTCATACATTGCGTCAGCGTTTTGAACGTCCACCAGCGTTTTGAGCAACTAAGAACGTATCTGTATCGATTATCGCCGGTGGACTCTCAAAACGCTGGGTTGGTACCTATAGTTTCCTAATCGCTGAAAACGCCAGTATATGCTGGAAATGGTGCCGCAAAGTATGATGACTCTCATGACTCTCAGTGCTTTCTGTGAGCTTTCAAAACTCCCGCCGTTTTCAATGCTTATTCGAGATACAAATCGTGATCAGTTGTTTAAAATCATGGTTAGGTTGAAAACCATCACCAGGTTTGAGAAGCTCTGGAACCACTTAATTTTCTTCGGCTCTTCAATAGATGAATAATGCTTCGATTTATTTATTATTTATTTTATTTATTTATGTTCGTTTTCATTTCAGTGACTATGAATGACATATTTGCGATTGATATTATCTTTCCAGTTCGAAGAGAATAAGGATGACTCAAAACGGCGGAAAAAGGAACGCAGTGATAGGAGCAGATCACGAGAGAGGAGTAGAGTTAAGGATAAGGAAAGAGAGAAGGACAATGATAGAGAACGGCGGCGACGAGAGGAAGCCTACAAAAAAGAGCTAGAAAAGGTATATTCAGAACGAACGATGCACACTTTTGCACGCTTTTCACAAGAGAAGCCTTTTTCACCGTCAGATATTTTGAAACTCAATTGCAGGAGAAAGAGAAGGAGAAACTGAAGAATTTGGCTAAAGAATTGTATCAGAAGAAATTAGAGGAAGAAGAAGCGAAGAAGAATGTTGTCGTAACAGAGGAAACATTGAGGTATGGCAGTCTTTTGCTCGACAGAAATTTTCGCGCTGTTGGGAGGGGCATTTTGCATTTCCGCTGGTCTTTTGCGGTTACACGTCACACCTTGGTGAAACTTGTAGACTTTCGTAGAAAGTGAAGGAGATTACTGCTATTGTATTGGCTGGACAGGATTTTACAAGTCTCCTGTAAGAGGCATTGACATTAATGAATGGGAACCAGGAATATGCCCCCACTAAGCCGAACTGCCCCGAAATTGTTTAAGAAATTATGGATACCGAAAATTGCAGAGCTAAGGAACTCATGTACAAAGCACAACAAGAAATCGAAGAGCGAAAACGTCAACTTGGTCTAGCAGCAGCCTCGCAAACTCTTATTGGAGTCGCTCCTGTTCCAGCTGCAACTGCAAAAAATGTTGCTTTACGACCACAGGAAGCTCAAATGTTCATACAAGCCTCTATGAATAAGAAGAGTAGAGTTGACGAGTTAAAGGTAACTCTTTCTTCTCACCGTTGTTCTCCAATGAGATCTTTTATCTTCATGGCGTTTTATAGGCGAAACTCGCAAAAGCTACCTCCACCATCAGCTCCTTGGTACGGCCCAACGCACCAGTGATGGCTCCACTACCAGACATCGCTCCTGGTATTCTGAAAGAACGCGAAGAAGAAGCGGTACTTATTGTTTCTTCTGCTCTTTTACTGCTGAACATTATGGATGTGCGAAGTGTTTTTCCAGGAAGAAGAGTTGCTGGAGTTTATGGACCCACGCATCGTGGCAAGACCTGCCGAGAGGAAGAAGAAAATGTTTAATTTCCATGAGAAGGGAGAGTTCGAACAACTTGCTAACAAGCAGAGGGCTGTTGCGAAGTTGGAAAGGTTGCAGGTACTTTTGAAACGATCAGGTGATCCTCGGTATCTTACCAGCTCCCAAAAGGAGACAGTGTTTTAGGCCGAGATTTCCCAAGCTGCAAAGAGTACCGGGATTTCATCGGCAGTGAAGTTAGCGATGATCACTCCGGCCGGAAAAAGTTCCGACGAAGTGCCGGACATAGAGTGGTGGGACTCTATTGTTTTGGAATGTGATAGGTAAGCTCTCTTAGAAGGCAGCGATTCCTAGAAATATGTTGGTTTTGAATGTTTATATTTTGAAGCTACGATGATATTCCTGGCACTGATGTGGATTCGCGATTCAAAGACACCATCAGTGAACTCGTGGAACATCCAATAAAGTTGAAAGCTCCAACGGATCCTCTCACCCCACAGTACCTCAAGGTGAAAAGTGCTTCTCGAAGTCTCCTCTAAAAGTTTTCCGCCTAAGAATTGCTAATTGTAGCACAGTGCTAGTTGTAGTGTGGCTGCTCTTCAGGTGTATTTGACAGCGCGCGAGCGCAAAAAGATTAGACGGCAGAATCGTAAAGAGATGCAGAAAGAACGTACGGAAATGATTCGGATAGGTCTTGCTAAGGCGCCTGCTCCCAAAGTAAGTTTTTTTTGTCTAGAAGCTGGTTGCTGGAATCATATCCGTTTGTGTTCAGGTGAAAATTTCAAATCTTATGAGGGTTCTGGGAAGCGATGCAGTCCAAGATCCAACGAAGATGGAGGCGCACGTAAGAAAACAAATGGCCGACCGACTAAAGAAGCATCAGCAGGTGAGTTTGTTATGTCTAGTGGTTCTGTAATACACTGTATATATTATGGGAAAATTGACTATTGAAAGTTTCCTTTTTCGATTTTTAATCTTCATGTAGGCGAACGCGGAAAGAAAACTGACCGACGAACAGAAGGCAGTGAAGAAAACGAAGAAGATTGCTGAAGACACATCATTAGCCGTTCATGTCTCTGTATATAGGTTAGCTTTTTCTGGGAATTCTCCTGCCGAAACCTTGTTCGTCTCCTCTTAACCCATTTTTTTGTTGTAAATTTCTTCTCTTGTCAATAATTTAATTATTTTGTAATATTGACATTTTTATTATCTGTCAAATTTTTTCAGAGTCAAATCGCTGCTTCATCCGTCTAAAAAATTCAAAGTGGAGATGAATGCGAAGCAGCTTCAAATGACGGGTGTGATTTTATTGCATAAAAATATAAATCTTGTTGTTGTGGAAGGAGGTAAGGTATTTTTGGTTTGTTTGTGAAATATGGTTGTTTTTGTACATATCGCCTCAAGTAATTCTTCATAGGTCCCAAGCAACAAAAGTTCTATAAAAATCTAATGCTGAACAGAATAAAATGGGAAGATGAGGTAATCGGGCAGAAGAAGGATGCCGACAAGGACGCACCAGGAGAACGGAATCATTGCCAGTTGGTGAGTGCACTCCGAAACAAGTTTGTGCATGAGCTGCTGTCATACCCATTTTCAAAGAAATGAAGGTTGTTCTCAGAAAGATATGAGTTCAGAGGTAAAATCATTACAGAAGTTTTCCGAACTGAGAGATTAATGGGTGACTCCTTCCAAAGGCCCAGAGGTAGCAAAAATTTGGGGTATACCTATATTGTAATACGCGATGTATCTTGTTCGCTTTGGAATTTTCCTGAGTTCTGTGGAATTGGCCAGTACAGTTGCATTTTAGTAGAAATGGTGCGCGAAGACAGTATGGCACTATTCACCCCTCATTACCCCTCTTCACAAATTTGAGGCCAGATTTGAACCAAAGTTAGTTGGACGGAGATAGATTTGACTAGAATTTCGTCCGCAGGGTTGTCTAACCTTGTGAATATGAATATAACATAAGCTGCGCGGGCCTTGTGCCTTCGCTGGAAAGGTGATCCATTTCACAAGATTGTTAGAAGAAACTGTTCTCAGTGATCACTTTAATTTTTACTTTAAAAACTGGCCTGCCGTTCGCCATTGCTATGCTTGCGCGTCTTTCGCTCCGGCGGGATGTATATTATCATATAGGTTGTGAGAATTATTTTGTACCAGTTTAGTTCTTTCTATTAAGGCTTTTTTTGGCGAAATTCATTACTTCCTAGAGCGTTCACTTGTAAATGACACACAGCAAAGCTTGTGCAGGCCACCACGTGAAGACTTGCAATTTCAAAAGTAGCTCATTCCTACCATTTTGCAGCTTTACAAGAGCTTAAAGTTTGGTGAGACGTGTTAATTATGAACCAAAAGAAAACAACTGGCAAAAGAGTGCGGTTATGCTCCTCCCTCTTTCCCCTTATTTACCTCATCGAAGTCCGCCAACTTACCATGGAGCTCTGAATGGAGACCTGGGTAGATCGATAGAGTCTATAAGGTTTTACAAATATAGATAGCAAAACTGCAACCTGCATTTCACAAGCAACTTATGAGCAGGTAAAGTTTGTAATGGTGCAGTAGGGTGGAGGCTTGGTGGTGAGCTGTGAAGCATAAGCGAGGAATCGCATACGTCGAATCGAGTCGTCGAACGTCGAACCTTACCACTGAACCACCACGACTCGATTCGACGTATGCGATTCCTCGCTTATGCTTCACAGCTCACCACCAAGCCTCCACCCTACTGCACCATTACAAACTTTACCTGCTCATAAGTTGCTTGTGAAATGCAGGTTGCAGTTTTGCTATCTATATTTGTAAATAACCTTATAGACTCTATTGATCTACCCAGGTTTCCAAAGTTCCATGGTGGCACACTTTCCTGGTCAGTGATACGGCCCGGCCTTGCCGGGCGTGGCTTCGTCCACCTTACCTGCTCTCGTACGTTTAAATGCACGACTGATACCCGGCTTCTGTCATCTCTGCACTTCATCAGTGCTCCTTACCATAATGTCATGCACAGTAATAGTGTTGAAAATAGCAGGTATGATGTTGGTCAAGGAGCGGTGGTCATCTGTTCAATTAAAGGAAAAGCAGCATATCAGTTTGGTATACAATTATGTGGAACTTGGTAAGCGCGGCGAAGAAGATCACGGAAACATCACAGTTCGCTGCATCTATATGTAATTGTATCGAATGGCAAGAGGCTTCCTTGACTGATAATAGTAATAGAATAAAACAGCAGTAATGAAGTGTTTGTACAATATAACGTGTGAGAGGAGCTTTACTTGAAAGTTGATATGTTACATCGACCTTTACCATTTCAGTATACTGCGGGATGATGGGTAGCCCTCCCATGGCCCTGTGCATAACTGAAGAGCTACTCAAATAAAGCTATGTAGTTATTGCATGGTAGTGTGAAGACCAAATAGAGAACAGATTTCTGGCCGCAGGTTTGAGGGACCGCTGCCTCTGTGAAGCAAAACTTACCTAATATCAAATGAAGCCTTGCAGGAAAGAGCTAAAACAAGGCAGGATTCCATACCCCTACTGTGCAACCCTACTCCTTGTGGGATTGTAGCCAATCGGCAGAATCGAGCTCAGTCTGCTGAGAAAGCTAGTGCTACAATGCGATGCGCATACTCCTTGCATTTAGAACTGTCATGACACGATGGATGTGATGTCTATATAATGACATGCGGGCCAATTTACTTATATAGGCTGTGCTTCCTATACTAATGAGCAAGTCAAGCTATTAACCGACTCCGGAAATGACGGTAGCCTACGGGCGGGAGCTTATTCGAGTAGTGAGTACGTGTAATAAGCGTAATAAGCTTTGTCACCTCATAAGCTCGGAGTGTGTTGCATATGTTAACGAAACTCCTGCTTAATCGCTTCGTGACAGCTAGGAAACCTCGCCCCTGAAGTGCTTGTCGTATGCATACTAGTTACGACTACACGTTTGGTTTACAATATGAAACATGATTTCCGCCTCGGCAACGGAACAGCTGCCAAAATTTTTGTGGCTTGATGCGAGCCTTTCATGACTTTAGAATGGTCACTTATGGTCAGTGGAGAAATAGACCGTGCGGTTGCCATATGTGTATGCATAAGCAGTGGAATACGGGGAAATGTCATGTGCAGTTTGTCGACGGGGGGGGGCATTTGCACTTTCGTTGCTTCACTAGTTCTGGTTTACAAGTCTCACTCTGGTGAAACCTGTGAACTCTTGTGAAGCTGGAGCAAGCTCGTCAAGCCATCATCATGGTAAAACTGTCAATTCTAGAAGAGGCTGTTTAATGGTCGACACTCGGTGGAAAGTGACAAAGTGTAAAATGCCCCTCCCCTGTCGACGCCGGAAGAGCGCTGAAACTATAGTCCACCCTTAGATAAAGATGTCATACTACCACTTCATTCCATTTGTATCCATTACTGCATCCTAAGTGGCTGACTGATTCTGCAAGTCGTGCAAGCAGCAAACATGATCCCCGCTTCATCCGCGTATTTTCAGTGGCTCCTGCGTCATGACTCCCTAGCGGCATGCGGGGTTCGGAGGGCCTCAAAAGAGCCGAACAACATGATGACGAAATCCGTACACGGAGGGCAATTCCTTCGTTGACTCCGCCTCCAGATACCGTTCAGACACGATAGCCACGATTCTAAAAAGTATCATCTTCTGTGGATTCTCCGCTTCTGAGGCACGGTGGGAAGACTTCACTGTTTAAATTCTTTGTAACAGTCAACAAAGCGTGACACTTGTATGATTCCGAACTTAAGGTACTCTGTTTTGTCCTAATGGAAACGTGTACTTCTCCACCGATTCAAGTAAACGAAGATGTAGCGATCATGATCCTCGGCGTTTTAGCAAATGGTTATTCATCAGCGTGCCCGTCCGCACATTGGATGAGAATCAGAGTAGGTTTGACCGTGAAACTTTTCTTTTTTTTTCGTCGAACATTTCAAGCGTTCAGTCAGGGCTACTCCTTAGCGACCAGTGTGACGGAGTTTGCGTCCGGACACTGGCATGCTCATTGTCAGTTCACTTTTCTACAGCATCGCAGGACACGCGGAACATGGTGGTTTTAAGTAATGCTACGTATCGACCATTGCTAAACCGGTTCTGATTAGTCGGGATCCAATTGTTACTTACTGTTACTTGTGGCTTTAAATTCCATCTTAGTAACTCACAGTGAATACCCTTCCAAGGAAGCATCTGGCGTAAATGGGTGTACGATGATATAAAGATGATGGTCAGCTGTCTTGCGTAAGTTATTTTGGACGGGAGCAAGCCCAGATGGGTGAGCACCTTGCGCAGTGCAACTTGTCAGAGCTCATTACCTGGAGCACTGCTCTACTCTGAAAACCCCAGGATCTTCTGTGGCTACCGCAGTTTCGAAGAATGGGATCGCTTCTGCCGCTGTTTGCGTCCTGTTTTCTTCCGCGTTTCCCAGTTTACGCTGGCAACGGGAGGTATCGAAGTGGCTGTTTGGGAGTGAATGTATGACAGTTAAAGACGGTGATTGCCAATCCGTATTCCATAAAAGCTGCGGGTCTCTTTGAGCAAGTTAGGAAGGTTTTATAGGTTGCACTCGAACTTTCTTTTAAGGGCGCATGGCAGACTCCCGTTCATGCCGACAGCCGCCTTGTGTGCGCGTGTGGCGTGCGGCTTTCCTGGCACTTTGCCAAGTGCTGTGATTGCGCTCTGGTATACAAGTAAAACACGATTTCCCGATGCGGATAACATTTTAGGTGCTGCAATACAGAACGAACATATGACGAGGGCCATGAACTCAAGAGCAACTGTGCTGCATCATCAAACACAAAGACAGATGCAGAGGCCGGTGAATCGTGTTTACAGGTAGCCTGCGGGCTGTCAACTGGGGCGCGGCTGTTGATTAGAGCATCAGCACCGGTTCTTCAAGCTTTTAGCTATAAAAGGTAGAAGTACTTCGTTGGTTCCTTGAATTGATTTCATGGATGGAGTTTCCAGCACACGTGCCCATTCTACTAACTGGGCCATTCATCTGAGTAATTAAGAATTCGCGTAAATTATGAGTATAACACTCCCAAGTATACAGGAGTAAATTTTTACGTATACAGTTTCCATTCCTTCGTCACTTTCTCCCAAGAGCACCGTCAGCGTTGCAAGCCCTAGATTTCGGAAACAAGAGCCCAAAGATTTGTATCATTTAAAGATGGCTTAATAACGTACACTATAGTCGCTAAGACTTTCTTCAGGGAGAGGAAAGCAAAAATCGGAGAATACCGTGAGGACCCTTGGGCAGCCCCACTGTGGGAGTTGTCCGGACCTGCTCATTCTGTGCCACTGAAGCGATATACTGTCGCCTCTGCACTAATCCCTTTTCACGTCAACCAGTGCCTTACATGAGGAACAGAAAACGAAAAATCGGTATGGGATCTGGAGTTGTGGCAGAAAGTAGCCTTTATGTTCTGGTGGGCCAGGCCAATCAGCGTTTCTCTCTTATTTATCTTTTTGTTCTTTGTGTTCTTAGGTTTCGTGTTGTCTTTATCTTCTATTGGTCTAATTCTGTTGATTATTATTTTTTTCTCTAACTCTGTTTTTCTAGTTTCGTTCATCTAATCATATAATAGCGGTCTTGTGTTTTTTTCGTCGTGCGGTTCTCTAGTCTTTTTATTTTTTTTCTCTTTAATATTATATGTTGGTTGTTTATTTTT